AAGGTATACAACTTTCATTTTTGGATCATCTCCAGATTCGTTATAGATTGAGAGATATAAGCTTCCGAAGTCAGACAATGGACATCAGAAATTCCTTCTTCGCGAATGCGAAGAACAAAGTCCCAACAGCAAAATCCTTCTTCGCGAACGCGAAGAACAACACCAGAACCAGTAACCAACAATATCAAAACACCCAAACTTGGTCTGGAATCACCCTAAGGCCCCCGGGACCCCGTCCAGTCGTACCAACCAGTCCCAATACATAACACGAACCTACTCGAGGACTCAAATCACATCAAACAACATCAAAACCACGAATCACACCCCAATTCAAGATTTATGAACTTTATGTCATGACCCAATTTTACATATAGGTCGTGATGACGCCCAATACTACAGCTAGGCAAGCCAACTAGTAATTTAAACACATATTCAATCCTTTTTTAAAACAATTAACCGAATAATTAAACTATTCCTACTTGCAATAATCAAGATAATGTGAAAAGATCTGGTAAATTTAAAATAACCAAGAAAGTAATTAAATCCGAAACATTCTACTAGTGTGTGTGCCAAGACCTGGTGTCACAAGTGTTTAAGCATCTAGTAGATTATACAAAAATTCTAAATACTGTCTGAAATAAAATAGAGAGAATAAAAAAAATTCAGGAAGATGAACTGGTTGCTGCAGAATGGAAACTCACCACTAAGACTCTGGATATCGTGGGTGCGCGCCGATAAGTCCAACTATAGCACATGTATCAGGTCCTGCACAAAACGTGTAGCAAGTGTAGCATGGGTACGTAAACAACGTATACCCAGTAAGTATCAAGCCTAATCTCGACGAAGTAGAGACGAGATGGCCGACTTTGATACTCACTAAGGGTTAATAATAATAATAGAAGTAAAACTAGAATAACTAAATCAACATGATTTACAGAGTTAGCAATAATTTTATTTAACCAGCAGAAATAATTAAATTCCTTCAAATGCAACAATTTCCAATCTATTAATTAAATTCCCAAACTGCAATTAAAATAAAATGTATCGTATAATTATTATTATCAGGCACGATTTCTGCCGAGGTCATACGGCCCAATCCAGAGTATCATGTACACAGTCGAGGGACGTGCGGCACGATCCATAGATGCATCTATACTGCCGAGGCGTTCGGCCCGCTCCAAAAGAAAGGAGGATAATTTTTTATGTACCTTCGGAAGGAGAGTATATTTATTATAGATTAATTCGAGAGGATGAATAATTTATTTTAACAAATAAATTAATTTAAGCACAAAATTAAGTATATAAGATTTTCATCTTTTACTATCTTTCCCTAACAATTCACAATATATATCAATTAAGTTAATTAAATAAAGGATGCAATTTACACACATAGTTCATGCTTTGAATCCTAAACTATCTGGACTTTAGCATAGATAGTAGCTACGTACGGACTCTCATCACCTCATGCGCATGTAGTCCCCACAATTAATAACAATTATCAATTAAATCACCTATGGGGTAAATTTCCCCTCACAAGATTAGAGAAGAGGCTTACCTTGTCTCAAAATCTACTTTCCGATAAAAATGTCGCGTAAAAACCTCAATTCGATGCCGAAAAATCCGAAACTATCCAAAAGTTATATAAAATAATTAATACATGTTCAATAATTCGAAATTCACCTATTAAATAAATTACCCTATCCAAAATGGTAAAATTTTTAAAATTCACACCCGGCCCACATGCCCGAATTCCAAAAAAATTCGGATGAAAACGTTACCCATAATCTCAAGAACTCATATATATATATATATATAATTTCTATCCAATTCCATAACCATTTTCGTGGTTAAAATCTCATTTTTATACAAATCTAGGTTTTTCATCTAAACCCTTGATTTCTAAGATTTACCGGTGATAATCTACCCATAATCTATGTATTTAACTCAAGGTGTGTAGAATTAACTTATCTCTAAGTTGTTAGTTGAAATTCCCTCTCAAAAAACTCTGAAATCGCCCAAACATGAAAAAACAACGGACAAAATGGACTGAGCTTCTTCCGTTTTAAGGTTCTGTCCAAGCAGGTTTTTCGCAGCTGCGAAGGAGTGACCGCACCTGCGGCTTCTCACCTGCGGAAGTTCCTCGTAGGTGCGAGTTTCACTCGCCTGGACCAGCTTCGCATCTGCGCGTTCGTAGGTGCGCCCAAATTTCCGCACCTGCGGTGGCAGAGCTGCTCCGCCTCTTCGCACCTGCGGCTGCCTGATAGTAGGCTATAACTATGTAGTTTAGCTACTATTTGCAATCTAACATAGCTGCACTTTATTGATATTTGAATGTTAAATGATAACAAATTGCTCTAATTAAGAACTTTATGCTTTGCAGGAGCAATTCCGGGCTATGAGGACATTAAAGAGTGTTTTGGAGCTAATATGGAGTATTGAAGGCCAATTGTAGCTTAGTGCGCTTAAAAAGAAGAATAAAAACAATGCTGCAGAAAATCCTTCAGGTGCGCGGTCTATGCGCGGCCGCGCACTGGGCCGCGCATGTCAGGCAAAAACTGGCCAAAATTCGCGGTCGATGCGCGGTTGATGCATGGCCGTGCACGTGCTTCCGAGAAAAATCGTCCAAGGCCAATTTTGTAATTTGAGAGGCTACTAACCTTGGACTATTTGAAGCCCAGCTCGCCTAAAAAGAGGGTATCTCTATTTTTTAGAAGAACTTTGGAGGCAAGAACACAAAAGGAGCAAGACAGAGAATTCTCTTACTAGTTTTTCATCTTCTTCTTCTTAATTCCATTGTTGGTTATGACTTTTTATATTGTAATCGTGCATAGTAGTATGAGTAGCTAAACCCGTCATCTAGGGTTGATGGAACTAATTGTTGGATGAAGTCTTCATTACCTTTTGATATACTTGAGCCGTTTTTACTCTATAATTGTTCAACTATGTGTTTCTTGTGATTAATTGAAAGGGCCCTTGATTAATCGTGTCTAGTTGTCTAGTGTTGCTTGAGAAAGAACACTTGATTAGATTGTTGTTGAACAACGCCACTTTTCAGTAAGTTAAGAGATTAATTACTTGAATTTAAAAGCGGGATTAGAGATAGCGAAGCTTTGGTGTGATATTTATGAGTTGTACAAATTGTCAACTTGAGTAGTTCGAGAGAATGCTTCTAGTAAATTATCATAATTAATCGAGAGATAAGTCTGATAAGCAAGATCATCTTTATAGAGTGTTATGACGTGATTATAGCTAACGTGTCAGGAATTACTCCGACAATTGGGGAAATCAATAGCCCTAGATTCTTTTACCCTTGAATTCAACTTCATTCTTGCTTATTGATAGCTTTTATTGTCATTTTCCTTAGTTAAATAATTTTTATTAATTATCAAATAAAATCTTGAACTCTAAAAATTGTCTGAGCTTATCATTAGCGATACTAAAAGTTGTAGCAAATAGGTTAGTTCCCTGTGGGATTCGACTCCGGACTCTTGAACTGGATTATTTTTGCAGTGACCGCTTAGTCCTTTTTATAAGGCATAGTTGGGTGTGATCAAATTTTGGCGCCGTTGCCGGGGAGCTAACAATGTTATTTATTACAACTTGGAAGAATTGCTAGGATTTTCAGTTTAGATCAATTTTCTGTGGTGTTAAAAATATTTCCATTGAAATTCTCACTTTTGAACTCTTCTGTGATTCAGGTGCATGCCTAGAATCTCCTTGAGAACTGGTGAACTTTTTGAAGGACTCTTAGATACCGAGAAAGCATTCAGGGTATTGAATCGGGCTAACAAGAAGGGCAAACAGCTAAAACAAGACAAACAATTCAAAATTGAAATGGACGACGTCGAGTACGTCAACGAGAACAGTAGGAATGATCGAGTTGACCCAAACATCGGAGTGGTAGCACCTCTTGTGCCGGAAGCTGCTCTATATGATTGGGCACAACCAACTACTGATAACCTGGCCACTGCAATTGCAGTCCCTCCGATACAAGCGGAGACGTTTCAGATTACCAACAACATGCTACACTTGCTATAGAATAAAGGGCTATTCTCTAGTTCGTACATTAAAGACCCACAACAACATCTGAAGAACTTTCTATCAATTTGTGTCAATCAAAGACAACCGAATGTGACTCCTAAAGCAATCAGATTATTACTGTTCCTATTCTCAGTGACTGGGGAGGCTCAAACTTGGCTGAATTCACTCCCAATAAACTCCATTGCTACTTGGGAGGAACTAGTCAAGCAGTTCTTAAACAAGTTCTATCCACACAACAAAACTGCGAGGCAAATTGATGAGATATCGCAATTTAGGCAGAAACTGACTGAAACTTTGCAGAAAACCTGGGAGAGGTTTAAGGGTATGCTAGTGAAGTGTCCACACCATGGCATTCCAGATCATATGCTAGGACAGATATTCTATATGGCTTTGGCTGACGGTCTGAAGGTCAATGTAGATGCTTCAGCTGGAGGTGCATTCTTGAGCAAAACATTCACAGAGTGCAAGATTCTTCTTGACAAGATGGCTGGATGATGAGAGATACAACACTCACTCCAATAGTACATTCTGTTGCTCTTGACCCAAACAATACAAATGCAAAAACCATAGCCACTCTCATGACCCAGATGAGCTTATTGATAAAGAAAATTGATGAGATGGGTACGAAACAGGTGCACATTGTTGATACTACAAATGGAGGCCTATGCACTCCCTGCATAAATCAGTCATATGTTTGCTCGTGGAGTGGAGAGAATGATAACCAGGGCTTCAGAGAAGACATGAATTACGCCAATAATTTTGGGGGTCATAGGCAAGGTGGACAGCAATGGGGACCTCAAAATCAGTAGTACTGACCAACCCAACAACAATACAATACCATTCCAGGGGGAGCACGACCACAAGGCCAAGTCGTGCCTTATCAAAGGCAGCATGGCTACAATCAACAGCACCAACAATAGTTGGCTTACCAACCGCCTCATCAACAGCAGGATAGTAGTATGATAGAAATCAAGGGCATGCTGCAACAACTCATTGGGACAAATGGAAAGATGCAAGAAAAGTTGGCCTCACATGATTCGGCTATTAAAGGCATTGAAACTCAATTAGGCCAGTTATCTATGGCCTTGAACAATCGCCCACAAAGAACGTTGCCTGCAGACACAAACATCAATCCAAAGGAGCAGAACCCAAATCAACTAATGGCAGTGAGTCTCAGGAATAGAAGGGATTTAGATAGAGAGCAAGAAGTTGCTCAATATAGGAGAGACGCAGTGCTAATTACTCCAGTGACATTAGAGACCGACGAGTCAACAGAGCTCACAGAAGTTGTAATTGAACATGCACAAGTGGACAAAGGCAAGGAGAAGGAATTTGAACAACTCACAGAACAGGTGGTGGAAAAGGCTCCTAATAAAGAAAAGACACCAAGCAGTGGGCAGAAGCTAACTCCTGCACCATTCCCTCAAAGGTTGGCAAAGCAAAAGAAAGATGATCAATATAGGAAATTCATGGAAAAGCTTAAACAAATTCAATTGAATATTCCGCTGATGGACGCTTTGAGGGAAATGCCAGGTTATGCAAAAATGATGAAGGATCTGATGTCTCGAAAATCTGACTTCCAGGACCTGTCTACTGTAACTCTAACTCAAACTTGCAGCATGGTAGTGACAAGACCTATGGCTCAAAAATTGTCTGATCCCGGTAGTTTCACTATCCCATGCACAATTGGAAGTTATGCTTTTGCTAAAGTATTGTGTGACTTAGGAGCCAGTATCAACTTGATGCCTTTGGCAATCTACATAACATTAGGCATTGGCAGAGCTATACCGACCTCAATGTTGTTGCAACTAGCTGATCGCACAGTCAAAAGGCCGACAAGAATTCTGGATGATGTGCTCGTCCAAGTGGGGAAGTTTTTATTTCCAGCTGATTTCGTTATTCTTGATTTTCAAGTTGACGAAGAAATACCAATAATTTTGGGGAGGCCGTTCTTAGCTACTAGGAGAGCATTGATCGACTGTGAGACTGGAGAGTTAAAAATGAGGTTTAATAATGAGAAAATAATATTGAATGTTCAACAATCTATGAGGAGGCCCAGCAGATTTGCAAATTTTTCACTAGTGGAGGCGGTGGATGTAATACTACAAGAGGAGGATGAGACCCTTAATGTCAGAGATCTATTAGAAGCTTTCTTGATGAATTTGGAAGATGTGGATGGTGTAAGTTGGCAGAGTGGGTCATTGCTCTCGAAGGTCAAGGGTTCTGGAAACGGGAACCCCAGTTCAAGCCATTACAGTTAGAAGAAAGGGCAACACCGCCTGCGAAGCCATCAATAGTGGAGCCACCACAATTGGACCTAAAATCGCTTCCAGCTCACCTCAGGTACGCTTTCTTAAGGCCTAACTCTAATTAACCTATTATTATCTCATCCGGTTTGTTAGCTTTGCAGGTAGAACAACTCCTTCAGGTGTTACAGGAATGTAAGACTGCTATTAGTTGGACCATGGCAGATATAAAGGGTATCAGCCCGACCTTTTGTATGCACAAGATTCTCTTGGAAGAGGGGCACAAACCATCCAGAGAACATCAAAGAAGGCTGAACCCGAACATGAAAGAAGTGGTGAAGAAAGAAGTGATCAAGTGGTTATATGCGGGTATCATCTTCCCCATCTTTGACAGTAACTGGGCCAGCCCAGTTCAGTGTGTGCCAAAGAAGGGTGGAATGATAGTCGTGCAAAATGAGAATAATGAGTTGATCTCGATTCGTACAGTCACGGGTTGGCGAATTTTCATGGATTATAGAAAACTGCACACAGCCACCCAGAAAGACCATTTCCCCTTGCCATTCATTGACCAAATGTTGGATAGGTTGTCTGGGCGGTCTCACTTCTGCTTTTTGGATGGATATTCGGGATACAATCAGATCTCAATAGCCCTTGAACATAGAGAGAAAACATCCTTTACTTGTATGTATGGCATATTTGCCTTTCGGAGAATGCAATGCACCGGCTACATATCAGAGGTGTATGTTAGCCATTTTCACTTATATGGTTGAAGATATTATGGAAGTCTTTATGGATGATTTCTCAGTGGTGGGGGATTCATTCGAAGACTGTCTTCACAATTTAAGGAGAGTGCTAAAAAGGTGTGTGGAGACAAATTTAGTGCTGAACTGGGGAAAGTGCCATTTTATGGTATAAGAAGGTATAGTGTTAGGGCATCGAGTGTCCAGTAAAGGTTGAGGTCGACCATGCTAAGTTTGACGTGATTGAGAAGTTGCCACCGCACACTTCGGTCAAGGCAGTGAGAAGTTTCCTTGGGCACACCAGGTTCTATAGGCGATTTATAAAAGATTTCTCTAAAATTGATAACCCCTTATGTAAACTCCTTGAAAAGGATCATCCCTTTCTGTTCTCTGATGATTGCAGGTTAGCATTTGAGGAGCTGGAGAAGAGACTGGTAAATTCACCAATCATCGTTGCATCCAACTATGTGCAGCCGTTCGAGCTCATATGTGACGCAAGTGACTATGCTATAGGAGCAGTCCTGGGGCAGCAAAAGGACAAGATAGTGCACCTAATTTACTATGCAAGCAGAACGCTAAGCGGTGGATAACTTAATTATACCGCGACTGAGAAAGAGATGTTGGCTGTGGTGTTTGCATTCGACAAATTTATGTCTTATTTGATTGGTTGAAAAGTGATTGTTTATACTGACCATGCAACACTTAGGTACTTGATAGCAAAGAAGGAGTCAAAGCCACGCTTGATCTGTTGGGTTCTATTGCTACAGGAATTTGATTTGGAGATCTGCGATAGGAAAGGACAGATAACCAAGTGGCAGACCATCTTTCAAGGTTGGAGGGAGCTGAAAAGAAAGTAGAGGTTGAAGATATAACTGAGACATTCCCGGATGAACAATTACTAGCAGTGGCAATGGAGGAGATTCCATGACATGCTGATATTACTAATTATTTGGCAAGCGGTATTGTACTTTCGCGATTGTCGGTCTTATTACTGGGATGAACCTTTACTTTTTAAAATATGTGTAGATAACATGATCCGGAGGTGTATCCCCGAGAAAGATCAATCTTCTATTTTGCAGCCTTGGCATGCTTCACAATATGGTGGGCACTTTGGAGGAATTCGGACATCGGCGAAAGTGTTGGAGTCGGGTTTGTATTGGACGACTTTATTCAAGGATGCACATGCTTGGGTGAAAAGTTGTGATGAGTGCCAAAGGACATGCAACAAATCTTGCCGTCACGAGATGCCGATGACTACAATTCAAGAGGTGGAAGTATTTGACATGTGGGGGATTTATTTTATGGGACAATTTGTCAGCCCGTATGGTAACAAGTACATATTGGTAGTAGTTGACTATGTATCCAAATGGGTTGAAGCTGTGGCCCTTTCAACAAATGATGCCAAAGGAGTGACAAGTTTTCTAAAGAAAAATATTTTTACACATTTTGGCACTCAGAGAGCTATAATCAGTGATGGTGGAACCCATTTTTGCAATAGAGCGTTTGCAAGGCTGTTAGAAAAGTATGGAGTTCGCCATAAGATTGCCACACCTTACCATCCACAAACGAGCGGGCAAGTGGAAGTGCCCAACAGGGAAATCAAAAGTATCCTGACCAAAACGGTGAATGGGAATGATTGGGAAAAGAAGTTGGATGATGCATTATGGGCGTACCGCACAACATTTAAAACTCCAATTGATATGTCTCTATAAAAGTTAGTGTTTGGAAAAGCATGCCATCTTCCGGTGGAGCTTGAGCATAGAGCCTTATGGGCACTGCGGCAGTTGAACTTGGATATGGAAGCCGCAGGCACAAGTAGAGTCACAGAGCTACATGAACTCGAGGAATTCTGGTTCCATGCATTCGAGAACGCAAGATTGTACAAAGAAAGGATGAAGATGATGCATGATAAGCACATTCTAGATCGAAACTTCAAACCCAGAGATCTAGTGTTGTTATACAACTCGAGATTAAGATTGTTTCTGGGTAAGCTAAAATCTAGATGGTCAGGACCATTTAGAGTTATGCAAGTGTTCTTAAGTGGAGCAGTAGAAATTGATCAAAAGATGGAACGAATAGGTTTAAAGTGAATGGGCAAAGGTTGAAACACTACCTTGGAATGGTTGAAGAAAAAGGGGAGAAAGATGTGATGTCTTTGGAAGAGCCCCAATATGTGATCAAAGTGCAATCATGAAAGCCTATGTCATGCTGCGATGTTAAATCAGGCGCTTCCTGGGAGGCAACCCATGGTTTTGTTGTAATTCATCATGCCGCGACATTAAATCAGACGCTTCTTAGGAGGCAACCCAATATATTTTCTTTGTTCTTATTTTTTGTATTTGATTTTGAACGGTGAAAGTATTGACAGGTCTACTAGTGTACAGGGATGAAATTGTGCACGACGGAAGGACTCGGGGTGAAGAAATCCATCCGGAGATAGGTAAAAAGTGCCTAAAAGGGAGATATTTTGAAGGACAAACGTGCGCGGCCGCGCACAGGTTGCGCACTTTCGGACCCCTACTGTTGCACATGCGCAGTCGTGTATCGACCGCACATGGACCGCATGTTTTCCGACCTCCACTGCCCCACGTGCGCGGCCACGCATAGACCACGCACTGGGCGGCGTTTTTAGGTTATTTTATTAGTTAATTTTATTTTTCCCTTTCTTTCTTTTCATTTTTTTTCTCCCTTACTAATAACTCCCCCCCCCTAATTCCTCCACTAAAATCTGAATAAAAACAAAACAAACCCTTCTTTCTCACAACAAACACACGCCCAAAAACCATCCCTTCTCCCAAAAGCAAAAACCTACCTCCCTTTCCTCCTCTTCCCTACTCAATCACTCCCCAATATCTATTCCTCACAAGCTTCTTTAGGTAAGTGCCATGGCTTCTATTTTCCTTTTCCTTCAGATTCTATTTTTTTAGTTTTTCCAATTTTTTCTTTTCTTTTTCTCTTTTAATTGTATGGTAGTAGAAGTCATTGTCGTTCTTTTCATTGCTTTGTATTACTAAGTATACTTGTTGGTATGTGAGGATAGTGAAATTTCATCTTGTTGGGTTGGATTAGACATTGTTAAAATTGTGGTGGAATTGAGGTATAATTGGGTGTTTGGGGAATTTGGGGTGAATTTACACATCAAGTGTTTGTTTAAATGCCACAGTGAGTTCGTGAATGTAATTTGTGACCAATTGTGTGGGTGAAGACTGAGTAACCACTATTGGTTCACACATCTCGCCTTGTACTGATAGTGGTATTTGTTTTGTAGGTACTATGCCACCCTCAAAGAAAGACGAACCACATGTGCCTCTTCTAGTGGTCATGCAGGCTTGTACCGGGCACGGGCCTCAACCAATGCGACTCAGTTTCATAGCACAAGATTTATATCAAGCTCAGCCTAGGAACGTTTTAGTCAGAAGGCTCCTAAGAAGCCCATAACTGAATGGGGTATTGATAGGGGGTCCCTCCAGATTGATTGCCCCAATATATATCAGGAGTTGGTTCGATGCGGGCTGGATATCTTCTTTGAATAACCTGAGGAGGCCAAATTGATGGTTGTACGAGAGTTCTACGCAAACTTCTCTGAACATGAGGACCATATTTTCACTGTGCGGCAAAAGAGTGTTGATGCATCGATAGACGCCATTAGGAGGGCTTATCGGCTGCCAGTATTTGGTGGGCAGAAGGACTATTATGATACGTATAGGCGAGAACCAACCTCCTGGAACTTGTTTTTCAGAACAATCTGTGTGCCAAACAAAGACATAGTGTGGGTTACACCGGGGCGGAATTTTCACTCGGCCTCACTCACCTTTGAAGGGAAGTGTTGGCTTTATATCATCAATAGCCGCATGCTGCCTTCCTCCAACACCACTGAGGTGAACAGTCCCAGAGCTGCATTGATCTGGTGCTTCATAAATGGCCATAATTTTGATATGCCTAAGGTTATTCACGACAAGATGTTCATCCGTTGTCCAGTGAAGAGGTATGGGTTCTTCTTCCCTTCACTAGTCACTAGATTATGTCGGGCAGCACGAGTGCCGGAGAATAAGAATGTGGATGGAAGAGTGAAAAAAGAACCAAAGTTTCGGGCAGATAAAGTGACCATTGGGAAGGATCCTATGGTACCTGGCAGAGCTAATAGTGATGAGTTTGATGCGCTAAAGGACGGAGATGAAAGGCACGCTGAGGCTGTGGCTAAGTCACCCCCACACGAGCAAGTTGCTGAGGCTGAGGGAACATCTATGGTCAGATGGGATACGCGGATGACAGCCGTAGAACATGAAATGCCAGGGTTACGCACTTCTGTCACGAATTTGGGGACTCGAGTTGATACACTGGCCACCCAAAATGCAAAATCTGAGAAGAAGATCATGGCTTGGCTGCGTGCGATGGGGAAGGCGTGCCATCTCGTCCCCAGCACTGTCTCCAATCAGGATTGATGTACCAGAGAAGTTTCCTTTACCTCGCATTTTTGTATTTGTGTGGCATGGGGACATGCCACCATTTTAAATGTTGGGTGGGGGATATTTTGTATGTATGTTGTATGTATAAAGTTATGATGAGTAGAGTAGTTTCTTTAGTTAACTGAATATATTAAAAAAAATCTTCAAAAGTTTCGATTTGTCCCGATGATGGATATCATTTGACGGGTTTCTCGAGGGATTTAAGTCGAAAGAAAAAAAAGATTTTCTTTGTAGGTAGTATAGTAATTTCCCCTTGATTTTTCTTTGTGCCGTGGTTCTTTTCCAAGGGTTTTGTTTGAACCGGGTGTAGTTAATTTTATTTTTTTAGGAGTAGGAGCCATTGTGCTATGAATTGAATTGAAGCAATTTTTCTTGACCTTGTTATGCCTTAAGAATAGTGAATATTTTGGTTGTGACGCTTAGGCTCAGTTTTTGACTCTTGTATAAGTACCTTAAATTGTATAATCTTAACTTTGCTTAACTGCTTTGACTAGAGTGTCTTGATGAGTCCAATCCTGAATGAGTTATGTGCCATGTGTGTGTGAGTTTTGGGTGTTATTTTGTGCATTGCATTTGATACCTAGAACTTGCTCCGTGTGTTTGCAAAGCGAAATAGTAGTTTTGTTCAGTTTTGGAAGTGATATAGGCGTTTTCTTGTTGAGCCATATATATATATATATATATATATATATATATATATATATATTTTACCCGCCTAATTGTTGTGTATCATAGTTAACCCCTTTGAGCCTGTAATCCTATTTCTTTGGCAACCACATTACAAGCCTTACCCATTTGTTGGAATTAACCATCTATTTGAACCTTCTAACCTCTCATGAGCACTTGAATTGTTATGAACTGTGTAAAAGTTAAAGTGTGGGGTGGTTGGTTTGGCTTTTGAGTGGAAATAATGAAATAAGGAAAAAGGTGCACTGTTTTGAAAAAGTAAGAGCCACTTGAATTGAAAAAGAAAGAAAAGAAAAAAATAGTGGTATTGCTGTGAAAAAACAAATTCCTTGATAAGTGATGACTCTTGATGTAATTGTGGTTAACGAAGTATGGAGTTAATATATATTGATGTGAAGGTGGAGTTATGGTTTCACATAAGTATGGACTTGAATGTAAAAGTATATGTATTAAAGTGCTTAGAGAGGTGTAGTCACTCTTATATCCAAATATATCCTACCTGACCCGCAGCCTACATTAGAACCAAATAAGGTCATACTTGATCCTAGACTGAATGAGCTAGATTAGTAGAGTAGTACACTACGGGCAAGCCTATGGAGCATCTTTTGTGGCACAAGAATATCGTTTCTGAGGGTGAGTGAATTCTATCTATTTTGAAGTCCCTCATTATGCGTGAATTTTATTGATTGTGGAATGAGTCCCTTTTGTTGTGAGCAGGCACTTGATTCATGAAGGAAAGGTAATTCTTGACCTCTGCGTTAGAGTAAGTGAGTAAGTTAGGAATATTGTGTGGTGCGTGGGAGTCAACTCTTAAGGTGAAGATGTTACATTACCATAATCAATCTATGTGAAATATTCTTGGTGTGATGAGTTAGGGAAGTCGCTTAGTGAAGTTAGGCCCCTGTAGAGTGTGGTTTGATTGCTCGGGGACGAGCAATGGTTTAAGTGTGGGGTATTGATAGTAGGCTATAACTATGTAGTTTAGCTACTATTTGCACTCTAACTTAGCTGCACTTTATTGATATTTGAATGTTAAATGATAACAAATTGCTCTAATTAAGAACTTTATGCTTTGCAGGAGTAATTCCGGGCTATGAGGATGTTAAAGAGTATTTTGGAGCTAATATGGAGCATTGAAGGCCAATTGGAGGTTAGCACGCTTAAAAAGAAGAAAGAAATAAATGCTGCAGAAAATCCTCCAGGTGCGCGATCTATGCGCGGCCGCACACTGGGCCGCACATGTCAGGCAGAAACTGGCCAAAGTGCGCGGTCGATGCGCGGTTGATGCGCGGCCGCGCACGTGCTTCCAAGAAAAATCGTCCAAGGCCATATTTGTAATTTGAAAGGCGACTAACCTTGACCTATATGAAGCCCAGATCACCCAAAAAGAGGGTATCTCTGTTTGTTTGAAGAACTTTGGAGGCAAGAACACAAAAGGAGCAAGACGGAGAATTCTCCTACGAGTTTTTCATCATCTTCTTCTTAATTCCATTGTTGGCTATGACTTTTTATATTGTAATCGTGCATAGTAGCATGAGTAGCTAAACTCGTCATCTAGGGTTAATGGAACTAATTGTTGGATGAAGTCTTGATTACGTTTTGATATAATTGAGCCGTTTTTACTCTTTAATTGTTCAACTATGTATTTCTTGTGATTAATTGAAAGGGCCCTTGATTAATCATGTCTAGTTGTCTAGTGTTGCTTGAGAAAGAACACTTGATTAGATTGTTGTTGAACAACGCCACTTTTGATTAAGTTAAGAGATTACTTACTTGAATTTAAAAGAGGGATTAGAGATAACGAAGCTTTAGTGTGATATTTATGAGTTGTACAAATTGTCAACTAGAGTAGTTCGAAAGAATGCTTCTAGTAAATTATCATAATTCCTCGACTAGTTAACCCCTCCACTAGACTTTTACTGCAGAAAGCCTCTTGG